CTTTTTCACACCACTGTACATAGGCTAAATAGAGATTGCTTGCTTTGATAGATTATAAACAGTAAGTAACATGACATTGACCTTCAGGGCTTGTTCATCAACACAACTTGACATGAAATGTGTCCAGGTTCTCCACATACTTAAAGATGAATAAAAAAAGACATCCATTGTTTCATTGGGTATTTTTATATTTATTATTTTACAAAAATATACACTACCAGTCAAAAGTTTTTGAACAGTAAGATTTTTATCGTTTTTTAAAGAAGTCTCTACTGGACACCAGGCCTGCATTTATTTGATCCAAAGTACAGCAAAAGCAGTAATATTGTGAAATATTTTTACTATTTAACCCTTGTATGGTGTTCGGATCTGTGGGACCCGTTTTCACTTTTTTTCAAAAAATGGTACTATTAATTATTTTTCAAGCTCAGACACCAGACCCACGAACACTGGCTGAGTAATAAAAATATGAACACCACACAAGGGTTAAAATAACTGATTTCTATTTGAATATATTTTAAAATGTAGTTTATTCCTGTGATTAGGCCTGTCATGATAACAACTTTTTGTTGTGCGATATATCGATTTGCTGCTCAAGAAACTATTATTATTATTATTATTATTATCAATATTTAAAACAGTTGAGTACAGTTTTTTTTCAGGATTATTTGATGAATATAAAGAAGTTGAATAGAAAGGTCCAAAGATCAGCATTTATCTGAAATAAAAAGCTTTTGTAACATTATACACTATACCATTCAAAAGTCAGCATTTTTTATTTTTGGGGGGGAAAGAAATGACAGAAATTAATCATTTTATTTAACAAGGATGCTTTAAATTGATCAAAAGTAATGATAAAGACAAAATATTTCAAAAGATGTCTATTTCAGATCAATTCTGTTCTTCTGAACTTTTTATTCATCAAAGAAATAGTCTTTTGAGCAGCAAATCAGAATGATTTCTGAATGATCATGTGATTGGAGTAATGATGCTAAAAAAATCACTTTTGAAATCACTGGATAAATTACATTTTAAAATACATTCAAATAGAAAAAAGTTATTTTAAATAATACAAATATTTCAAAATGTTACTGTTTTTGCTGTATTTTGGATCAAATAAATGCAGGCTTAGTGAACAGAAGAGAATTCTTACAAAAAAAAAAACATTAAAAATCTTACTGTTCAAAAACTTGACTGGTAGTGTATGTTTAACAAAAGATATCTCCAACTATCATAAAGTCTGAGCAGTTGAATGAACAGTTGAATGATCAGATAAACAGTTCTTCATATGCAGTACACATACATACATACATAGGCTACACAGAAAGATTCCTTGCTCTGATAGATTATTCACAGAATATGGCATGGACCTTTAGGGCTTGTTCATCAAGACAATTTGATATGAATATGTCCAGCTCCTCCAGATACTCAAACATGAATAAAAAAAACATCTCTTGCTCCATCCGATTCTTCCCCCAGGTAGTCTTTGATGGCATTCTGTTGATTTTTATCCTCCATCTGGAGAAAGGCAGGCCCTTTCACCTCCCCACAGAATAACTCACGGTGACTCTGTACCACGCTGGACCAATGCCCCTTACAAACTTCCGATTTATGTCCTCTTGGCACTCCTGTTAAAAATAGAGAATGCAAATATGTTGGGGGGTATATGTGTCCACTAAAAAGTATTTACCTCATCATTTACCTCTACATTCTACATACAAGAATATTTATGATTTTAAACGACAAAAATCAATCAATATCTAGAGAAATCGTCCCCTTGGAATTATGAGGTTCTATCTGACATTTTTGTCAAAATTGAGTTATTGATTTATTTTAACGTTGTGTACATTTTGGGACTTTTTATTTAAAAAACAAAAAGGTTCTATCTACACAGTCGAATGGAATGCAAAAATTTTGAAGCTCAATATCTCAAAACTACTCAGAATGCAGATAGAACCTTATAAGTCCAAGGGGACGAAATGCTCTCACCATACCTCCATGCACCACTGCATGGCTTATGTGGTCCTCCAAGTGAATTGTAATGAGTCATTTTCTTTTCTGATGAAACTGCAGCAGGGACCCCTCATCCCGGCAGAACTGCTCTGCATCAGGCTTGGACTGAAAATGCGTAAAATGCTGTAAAACATGACAAACAAACATTGACAAACATTATGTGATCTTTCCATTAATATAGAAGGATACAAAGATAATTTGTGACATACACAGAGTTATCCAGCAAGACAGTGAAATAATGTGGTTGCTCAACCAAGTTACTGTGAAGAGTACTGTGATCAGTGTATATCATTAAAGATGTCATATGTATGTATGTGAGTGAGTGTTTTGTGGGGGGGGTGAAGTGTGTGTGTGAGTGGGTGAGATGAGTGTTGTTACCTTCTTATCGATGCTTCTTCCTGTTTCAAAATGAATGAGACTGTGACGTATTCGGACATGGGCGTGACTTCCGACGTCACACTTGGATGTGGGTGGGGTTGGATGTCCACTGCAGGCTGCAGCAAGACACCCCTCGCATTTAGAGAGCAGCAGAGCAGTGTTGCCAATTTGGGGATTTTGTCACCAAATTTAGCTACTTTCCCATTGTAGCTGCGACTTTTTAAAATGTTTTGTGACAAGGAGCTATTTTAGCTATATTTAAATAAAACTAGCGATTTTTTTGGAGATTTTAGCAGTGTTGCCAACTTAGCAATTTTGTTGCTAAATTTAGCAACTTTTCAGACTAGCCTAGCAACTTTTTCTTCCAAAAGCACCTAGCAACAAATTTAGCTAGTTTTTGGAGAATCATAATATCTCTGTTGTATTTGAGCAGGACAGGGATGCACTTCGGTGACACATAAAACAAATTCCCAACATTATGTGTCTTTCCATCATTTCCATCATGTTTGATGTGCTTGCAGATCACAAGCATTTCCTAATTTCACTTCAGAATTTTTTGTTATACTTAATCTTTTGTTATATTTTTTATACTGTCATAATTTGTAAAGTATATATATATATTTACTTTCCTTTACCAATTTTACCTGTATTTACTTTGTTTTCATATTTGGCGACTTTTTGTGAAAAATTGAGACTTTTGAGGGTGGTTCTAGAGATTTTCTGAGGGAGGGGTTTGGCAACACTGCAGCAGAGCACTGAGGGCGGGCATCAGATGAGCAAGCTAGTGAAACGTTGCACGCGCAAAAGAGAAGGTCTGCACAAATCCAAAAAATTATTTTAAATGCAAAATTTATTTTTGTGTGCTCAAAATACTTTCTTTTTTGGGAGACAAACATTTTCTTCACAAAACTCAGTTCGCGTATGTGCAAAACGCACTTTTGCGTGCTCAAAATATGATCGTTCGCGCGCAGAATTGTGGCAGAGATGTAATCCCATACTATCTATCTATCTATCTATCTATCTATCTGTCTATCTATCTGTCTATCTATCTGTCTGTCTGTCTGTACAGCTATACATCTAATACATAAATATATCTGAACAGTAAAAAAAATCTTTAGATAAATCTTTAGACTTTTTTTGGGGATGCTCGGTTTGCTGGATTTACATAAAATGTTGTGCTCTAATAACCCCCTACATTCACAATCCTCAGTTTACAAAATCACTTCACCTTCACTCCACCGCAAAGTGGAACATCCCAGATAGGGATGCCGCTGCTCTCTCTCATGTTCACACCCCTGGAAAGATGCGGTGGAAATGTCCAGCCAGACAGACATGTCAGTGCTGTGCTGCTGTGGGAAAGCGAGCAGAGAGCGGAGCTCATCTCATCCTCCTGCTGCCGCTGCAGTGAGTCTCTGCTGCACAGGGCTAAAGCACGACATCCCGCCCTCTGCCTCCCCTCAGGTGTACAACACACCTCAACGGATATTACACACCGGGACTGCTTTGAATACACACGATTCTTGCGGGACAGACATGTCACATTCAGAGATTTTGTGAAATGTATTCGCTTCATCAGGAATAAGAGGAGATCGCTGGCGGTACATGGCGAACTTTACGCTTATCTGACATGTTGCTGCTCATCTCTATAAGAGACCACAACACACTTTAGCCCGACACACGGGCCAGAGGAGACGAAAAACGAGGATTTGATCTCTTCTGGGTCGATCAAGCCCTTATAACCCTGTTTTTTATTTATTTATTTGAGGCGACAACATTTAGCCTCAACTTGCTTCAGCGCGAGCAGCTAAAGGAACAAAATGTCTGCCCGGGCTGCCCCTAATAAGGTTTGTGATGTTTTAATAACGTTTCACATTCAATGTCAGCAGTTGTTAGGGCTAAAAGATGAAATATAATTAAACAAGAGCTTAAAATGTGTGCGACAGATGCCTGAGGTCATAAATGTGCGCGTTTAGCTTCAGCTAACGGAGATTCCTCAACTTATGCTAACACGCTAACGCTAGCCGATATGTGCGATAGTTTACAGCTTTAATTTAACACAACGCTTTAGTTTTGTATCCAACTTTTCTTTTATAACTATAAATAATCTCGTTTTGTTGTTTAGCCTTTTGTTTTGTAAATGTATCACGTTTGTTTTGTGTGACAGTGACATAAATATGCGGTTAACCACAAAGTGGTTTCCAAAGTCTGTTGGTTTCATGAAGCTTTTAAATGTTGGATTTTTAAACGTTTTGAATTTTATGGTGATAATTTTGACTTGTCTTCTCTGTTTTTAAACAAATAGCTGACAAAGCATTGCAGTTACAGTATCGTGAGCTATCTGAAAACATGTCAGAAAGTGGAAAGTGTCTATAGCGGTTATAAAATGTGTTATTTAAGCTTTCGCTGTATTTCAGGATTTAAATGTTTTACTGTATTATATAACGTGTTCGTGTGAGCTGGTATTTATAGATGGTGTCAAAAGTGCGGGTTTGGACGCGTCCCATAGCAAACAGACACAGCTAATGACAGGAATGATAAATATCAAACTCCTCAGCTGCTGCTCAGAGGATGTTTTTGCTTTTAGTTTAACAGTGTGTTAACCTGTCAACTTTCATTTGAAGCCCATAGAAACTTTAGGACAGGAAACGTAAATGAGATGAGCTGTCACACTGACACAGTTTCTGTTGGGTGGGTCTTTCTATTGACACCTGTTGAAGCCCCTCCCACAACAGGTGAGCTTCGTGAAATTGGTGGAACATCTCAGCAATGTGACTCTGCAGCCCTTCCTCCTTGTCATGAGTCACCAGTTGCTTTCCTGTCTGTGATGTCTGGTTAAGCTGAGTAACATTAACCTGTTTGACCGGATCAGCCGACAGAGCATGATTTACTAGAGTTGTTTTCATGATGCATGACATGAGTTATGATTTGACTTTTTTAAAGGGGTCATATGATGTTGCTAAAAAGAACATTATTTTGTGTATTTGGTGTAATGAAATGTGTTTATGCAGTTTATAATTACTGATTATAATGACTTATACTGTCTTTTTACGCATTGCATTGCATCGCGCCGCGTAAACATAAAACCATGTCTGCATTTGTGATCAGAGAAATGACAAACAACAAGCGCTACTCTACATTGCTCAAAACTCATGTTTGAATCATCAGTGGCAAATTCTTAAAATATAAAAAAAAACGTACTTACAGTCTGTGAGTCAGAACAGCCGGCATTGTAGTCTACTCTACCAGGATCAGGAAACAGTCCTCCATAAAATGTGCTGCACACATCTGAATATTTGGGTTGAACTGTTCTGGAACAGTGTTGTAAATACAACTTAACCACTGATTTCTAGTCGTGTCCTCTTTTGGAAGACCAAACAAAGTAGTTTTGCTTTCACAACGAAAAACACAGCGTCTTTACGACATTGCGGCGGCGGCATCAACAATACCACAGCGAGAATAAAAGTTACGCCTTCTTTCTTTGCGTGAACATTTGGGCGGCGTTATGCAAATCTTCCCACATAGTGAGGTAGATATGTGGGGGCGTGTTAGAATGAGCCGTTTTAGGTAGGCGTGGCTGACTCTTAACTTTTATAAAGAATATCTCTCTGGATTTGAGACTTTAGTCTTTGCAACTTTACAGATCTTCTTTATGCACCAAGAGCTTGTAACACTCCAAAGAGAAAGGAAAAATTTAAATCGCATCATATGACCGATCAGCATATTATTTTTTCACAGATTGCAATATATATATAATTTGGTATTTGATATAATACAATGAATTATAATTTTTGTATAATGTAATTGAGTGTGTGTATTTAAAAAAAAATCATTGCTCATTTATTATTAAAAAAATAATATATTTTTTCAACACACACACACCCACCCCAGTGTTATTTTAGTATCACTGAGATAATATTAGTTTTTATTAATATTTTGAATTATTTTTTAATATTTTCTTTTCATTTTAATTTTCATTAAAGTTTTAGTAATTTTGTTGTGTGTTATTGTCATTTTTAGTTTTCATTTTTATTTAATATGACTATGTAGTTTTTATTCAATTTATTTCAGTTTTAGTTATTTTAGTACATTAAGTTAAGCTAATTAAAAAAATATGTTGTCTTGGCAACTAGTTGAAAAAACACTTTTTATGTACTTTATTCCAGTAAACCTGTTTTTTTTTTTTGTTAACTGTAATATTTCAGATACACACACACACATACACTATTATATTTATATAAATTATATATATTATTTTAATAATATATATTTTGTAAATGGCACTTGGTTAAACGGCCAATCAGCACAGTTACAGACTGATGATGTTAATCTGAAAATGGCCAAATATTGGCAGATTAAATGGCCTGTGCAATATATCGATCTCTCACTATCTGCCAATTTCAAGCTGGCACTACAATCAAATGTTTCTTACTATCCCTAAAACTGTATTTGGAATGATTCAATTTAAATGCATTTTTGTTGTTATTATAACAAATTTTTTTAGCTGTTTTCCCCCAAATCTTTTTTCTTGTTATTATTTTTTATTAGTTTTACTTTCCACGTTAATTAATATTAGATCCCTTACAGTCATTAAACTTTTGTTTTGTAAATTTGTTGTTTCCATTAATTTTTTTGTTGCAGACTATCGTTCTTGTCTTACATTGCATTTTCTAAAACAAAGTTGCTTGCTTACTGACCAGTAAGTCCATTATTCCCTCACCAAAGGCAATTTTTATGCATACTTGGTGCTTGGTAAGTGTTAATTTTTGACCGTGGTTGTAAAACTTGTTTTGCAGGTTAATAACAGCACTTATTTGTGGATGAAACAGATGCAGGGCAAAGGGATTGTGCTGTACTTTGCATTGTTTGGTAATACTTATCCGTCTCATGGTCTGTGACTTTGGGCTGGTCGTTTCACTGGTCAGGTCTCAGTAATCCTGTTGGTCTAATCGCTTCATGAGATCAAAGGCAGAACCACAACACGATTTCCCGTCTAGCCTAAATGGAGGATTTTGTTTGTGCCCCGCTCTATGCCCTTTCTTGGTAAAAATACTGGCCCATTCTCCCGCCCTACATTGCAACTTAAATTAATGGGGTCCTATTATGCACTTT